ATTTAAAAATTATATAAGAAATTTAGACAAAAAAATTGTATTCGTGCATAATCTTAAATATTTGTATTAATAATTAAGATTCTTTTGTTCCAATATTCTATCTTGCCAAGGATTGATAATCATTTATCAATCAGATCAAGAAAAGATCATCAATGATTTGTACGTGTGAATTTTTTAGTAAATATTTAGATCATCATTTAACCCCAAAATTTGAGCAAAATTTTATAGATAAGCCTTTTTTAGGATTTATTTGTAAATAATAAATTTGTGATCAAAAAATCTTTTTAATTAAAGATAAATATAAATTCTATTTATTTTTATTTTTTTTTTTGTTAAAAAATGTCTATTAATTTTATTCCACCTGAATTGATAATCATGATAACATCTCAGATATCAGTTAAAGATATCAAAAATTTTTTGTTGAGTTGTCGACATGTAAAAAATATTGTTTATAATAATTATATTCTTATTCATCATATTGAACCATATAAAGGAAAGAAGTTATTTGAAGAAAAATTTCTTGAAAACGAATTTCCTTTTGAATTTCATACTAAATCTTTTAAATTATTAAAACAGAAGAATATTTTCTTTAGAAATGATTTCGATATATCTGGATTTCAATTACATCCATTTATAAAATTATCTTCTAAAAAAAATTTAAATTTAGAATTGATATTATTCGAATCTAATAAAATATCAGATAAAATTATTTATTTTAATAACGATTTTTATGATAAAATAAATATAATCAAAAGAATACGATATAAAGATGTAAAAAGTGTTAATTATGATGAAATTTTACATAAACATGATCTTAGTAGATATTTATATACTATGATAGTATCAAATGATGAAATAGATATATTAGGATCAATATTAACACGAATTTATAAATAATTTCAATTATTTTGATTATTTAACTTTATTTATATTTATTTAATTTTTATATATAATAAATTTATCGTTATCTTATTTATCAATGATATCATTATACATTATTTTAAAATTTTTAGAAATTGATCATCATTTTACACAATAGATAAAAAAAATATCGATAAAATTTTAATTTAGTTATTTAATTAAGTGATTTTTGATATATGTTAATAGAAAGAAAATTTATTTAATTTTTAACATGTATTCATTTAAAAAATTTTCAAGAAGATTTTTATTTTGGTTATGTTTTTTGATAATTTTTTTTTTTTCGTTATTATGTATAATATAAATGATATGTTTTGGTTTAAACAGTAATGCAATAGTTTATTATGTAGAATACCAATGAAAGGGTAGATGATTTTTGTTTTGGTTGTTAAAATCTAAAACAACTTCTGTTAGTTAACGACAAACGTGTCGAGTTTGGCAAGTTGTCTTTCTTGTAGAATCCTTTGAAATCTTCAAAAAGACCAAAGTCATGTTGTTTTTTCAACGGATAGCAAGCTTATCTTAAAAGTATGAGAAAAAACAACCAAAAACCGTAATTTGAACCAAGAAAGAGAAAAGTGTAATCAAAATACGAATGAATAAAAAAATTATATATTTTTTAAATAGGATCCAATACATGGGCTAATAACCAGGAGGGTCACCGAAAAGAGTACGTGACCTATGTTTCAATAATATCATCTAACAAATATGAAATACCAGGAAAAGTATTTTTATGATAATATATCGTCAACTGCAGACGCACAATTTGCTTTTCGTTATAGTATGCACATGTATGATCGATGGATTTATTTCAGCTTTGTTCTTTCAGGACTTTAACCTGATAGCGATACTCAAGTATTATGAGCGTAAACTAAGTTTCTTTGCAAAGAGCTGAATACCAAAAGAGCTTAAAAAAAATGATTATATATTAGTAACGATAAAAACAACATGAACTTTAACTTATGAGTATCCTATTTTATGCATATTACAACTTTTTGTGCGTGAAATTGCTACATCCGACATAGACATCTCATGATAGAGACCAGTACAGAACGATATAGAGTTTTTCAGAGGCTATCGTTGTATAGAGGCCTGAACAGACAAACACAAGTGAAAGTTGAAAAAAAAAACAAAATGGGACAATCAACAGTATATGTAAGAAATTTATGTAATACAATATCATAAAAATTTAGTAATGATTTACTCGAATTTTAAATAGTTAAATATATATATTTTTAATTTACTGATAAGGAAGATTCCGAAAATCGAAAATTCGATGCAAATTAGTAATTAATTTAGATAAAATACATTAAAAAATCTAATTACTAATTATTCACAAGTTTATCAATCTATATCTATTTTTATTTAGGTTTTATTTGTATCGTATAATAGATGTACATGATTTATCAATGATATTTATATATTTGATGTACGAATTAAAATTTAATATTATTTATATGAATTATTATAAAATTTTTGATAAATATAAGTGTTTTGATGAGATTTTTTTCTCATTCTTTTACGACTTTGATGATGGTACATTTGGTTTTGCATTGAAAGGCTTCCCTATTTCAGTTGCAAGTAAAGTAATTTCTTAGAGCTCTTAGCTTACCTAAGATATCATATCAGCGTAAAACTATACAGTGCAAACTCAAGCTTAACCATATAACCTAAAAGTTTGTGAAAGAATCAAACATTTTTTTCTTAATAAAACTTTGCAAAGATATTATCTTGCATAGAGGTCAATTCTGAATCTCTTTTTGAGTGAGGATTGATCTCGTACAGTTTAGGGGCTACGAAGATATATCTCCCTCATTGAAAGTTTTATTAAATATTTTTGAGCAAAGTGATATAATACCTTCACGTGGTTTTGCTTGAACATGTGTTTAATAAATACATGACTAAAATTATATCAATTTTTATTTTTAAGAAAAAATTATTTTAAAATTATTTTTTTTTATAACGTAATTTTTATTAAGATAAAAATAATTTTTTTTTTAAATACAATTATTTAATGAGATAATTAATAAAAATTAATTGATATTTATAATTATTTCTTCTTTATCATCATAGAGACCAATTTTCAATTCTAATATTTTTAATTTTTTATGATTTTTACATTCTTTGATTATTTTTTTAATATCACGATCGAATTTATAAGATTTTATTTTTAAACGAGATAATAATTTTAAATGTTTCAAAATAGACACTAGATCATCAATTTTATAAATACAATTAATCAATGAAAGAGATTCGAGATTTTGTAATTTGATGATGATATCAAAAATTCTTTCTTTAGAAATATCTATTATTTTGAGTATTCTCAGATTTGATAATTTATTGAAGAATAGATTAAAATTATGATTTAGAAATGTATTTGATAATGTTAAACCTTTTAAATTATCAAGATGATTTAAATATTTTAAATCGAAATATGTTTAAGATAGTGTTAAGTAAACAGAATGATTTTTAATATAATTATTCAAGTAATCAATATTAAGATAATCGTAATAAATATAGATATATTCAATTTTATATGAAGATCTAAATAATAATTTTACTATGATATCTACATTTTTAAATATTTTTTTGATCTGAAAAGTATTAATCTTTTTCACATATTCAAGGTAGTTAAATAAAGGAACAGAAAATTCTATAAGAGAAAATTCATCTTTCATGATTCGTTGTTCGATTTGATTCAAGTTGTAAAATATGATTTGTTTCAATGAATTGATTCTTTTTTTATTACGATATATAAATGGATCTTGCCATAGTATTGGAATAGTGATCTTAGCCCAAATACGACAAACTCTAATATATTTTAACATGTATTTATCTATATCATAAAGATATGATATGATATAAAAAAATATTTCATTTGGAAACGAGATAATCTTTTTCATATTTTGTTTTTACATCATGATAATACTTTATTTTTATAATTTAAACATATTAATAATTAATAAATAAAATAGATTTAATAACTTCTTTTAAAAAAAATATCAAAATCATTTTTTTCTTTATTTCCTTGACTTTGATAATAAGTAATTTCTTCAGCCAATTCTCTTTTTTCAATGATTTCTTTTACTAATTTTTCAGCAGCATCTTTATATGGTTCCCAATCCTATATCTTAAGAGATTCTTCTAATAATTTTTTAATTCTGGATTCTTTTTTTGTTAATTGTGGGATTTCAATGAGAATCACAAGTGCTTCATTGATTTTATTTCTATTGCATGAATCTAAGATTTTTTTGATTTCATTTAATTTTTTAAGAATTTGTTTATTATCCATTTTGTGAATAATATTATTTTTTTTTAAATACTATTTATAAAATTTTTTATTAATAATGAAAGATTATAAATAGGATCGAAATTAATAAAAAAAAATTAAAAATAAATATGCCTAATTTTGATTTCACGTTTCAGCTCAAGAGTGACAAGTGAGTAATTATTAATTATTTATATTAGTAATTTGTATTGATAAAATTAATAATTGAATAAAATTCATCAGATATCATTTTATACAAGGATACAAAATAGACGAGATGTCTGATATTTTAAAAGATCAATTCATAGCTGAATGGTTGATGCATTGGGAAGGAAGGACAAATAATATCAGAATTCGTGATATTAATAGTGCTAAAGAATTATTAGAATATTTAGATAATGCAAAAGATATGAATTATAAAAAAATGTATAGTAGTAAAAAATGATGTATAGGAATTATTTATTATGGTTGGACTAACTGGCCAACTGGATATCGTGATGAATGTTGTGAATATGCGAATGAAGAATTTCACGTAAAATTAAACAGAGCGATTAACAATTATAATGATGATGTAGATGTGAATGAATTTGTAACATATAAAATTTAAAAGGTAATTTCCAAAACGAGATTTAATCAAAGAAGATTATTAATTAAAAATAAATATAAATTCATGAGGTTTTAATTTATGATAAAACCATTCCAAAAATGAGTATTTTACAAAAAGAAATTCCTAATGAGATTCTCTGTTATATTTTTAAATATAACAGAGATTTGTTAAATACAATGTTAACTTGTAAGAAATTCAATAATATTATTGATCATCAGTTTAAAGCTGATTGGATCATTTATCATTATGGAAAATTACACGTTCTTTTTTATGCGATAATTTTACCTAAATTTATTGATATGAAAACTGTTAAAAGTATTGTTAAGAAAGGTGGAATCATTTCTAGATATTTCATGCAAAAACTTTTAATTGCGTTTGGTAAAGAAGATTCAGTATTACACGAACAAAAATTAATAGGAAATCCAGATATGAAAAAAGAAATTAACTGGTGTAATGATTTATCTGTTTCTATTTTTTGTTATCTGTTAGATGAAGCAATGAAATTATATGATAATGATTTATATTTGAAAGGCAATGATATGGAATTATTTCATTTTTTAACTGGTGGACCTCATTTTATAAAGACAGCATTTGATATAATCGAGAAAAATTTTAAAGAAATTGAAAGATTGATAAAAGAATTTAAATTTGCACCATTTCCTTCTAGACCAAAAAAATTATCTTTACCTTTTCCTGGACCTGATGGTAGTCTTATGATAAGACAAGAAGCTTATCCTTCTTTAGATGGATATGAAAATAATCGTCAATTGAATGTTATTGCTAGAGGTATTTTACTTGATTTGAGATTTGCTAAAATTTGGAAAGAGATTGGTTATTTCAACATGTGTCAAGATCTGAATGGTCTTGTTTTACAAGGTGCTACCTTGATTCTCTTTCCACCAACAAATGATTTATGGAATAATAGTAAAGAAGCTATTGTTAAGAGATTTAAAGAATTGATAGATTTAGGATTTGAATTAAACGATAAAATTATTTATGATATTTTCAATCCTTATATAAAAAAACTTGATAGGATTGGTGGAATTTTTTTAAATTCTTTTATTGAGTTATTAGGATCTGATAAATTTGTATATAATCTTTTAGATACTATAAAAGAATTGAATGAGAATAATGATATGAAAATTAATATTTTAAAAAATGATTTATTTTTGAGATATTTGTAAAATAAATTATTAATATGAAATATGATATAAGATCAATTATTAATATGTTCAAGATATAAATAATTAAGAATCTAAGATAAATAAATAAATAAATAAATAAAAATTATGGAAAAAAAAATTATGTTTCCCGATGAATTGATAATGAACATATTCGTATTTTTATATGATATGAATATATCTTTGTTTAATTGTGTCATGGTATCTAGAAGATGGGCTAAGATCGCAATTCCTGTACTTTGGCAAAATCCATTTAAATACTATAAACATAATGATAAACTTGATTCTTTGAGAAAAGTTATTTGTCATGATTTGGATGTAAAAGAATACTTTCGAATTCTAAAAAAAGAAGATTCTATTTCTTTTTCGTATTTAAGTTATGTGAGAAAGATAAATACTTACTAAATCGAAAAAATATTTAATATTTTGATATGTGATAGTGAGATTATGGTAAAAATAATAATTGATTTATTGTTCAAATCTTCTGATTTGATTAAAAAAATTCATATATGTGGTAATTTTTATAATTTTGAAAGTTTAAATGAATATATGAAAAGACATAATAATATTTACTTGAGTTTACACAGAACATATTTAAAAGATTTAGATGATATTAATAATTTTAAGAATGTCACAAGTTTAAAAATAAGAGATATTTTTATAAAAATACCAAGAGATGATATTATCAAATTTTATAATATCGAATCTCTCATTTTGATTGATTCTGATTATGATAATGATGATTATTTCTTTATTATGAAAGAATTAAAAAATTTAAATTATTTCAAGATAATTTCTTATCACATTAACAAAAATCATGCAGAAAAAATATATTATAAATCTTTAAAATATAAAAATATCAAGAAAATAGAAATAGGAAAATATGAACAAGTAGTTTTTTATAAATTTGAAGAAAATACTTAATTACTTAAATTTTTATTATGTAAATCATAAAAAATTACATATATTATCTTAAAAATATTTTTTTAATTTTTTTATTTTTATCATAAATATCTTAAATAAACAAAAATTAATAATAATTATAATAATTATCTAATTTTCTTATTTCTTCCAAATGTAAATTAATCATATGTTCATAATAAGATCTTCTCATATTATATTCGTTATTTTTTTGATAATAATGAATATTATTATAAAAAGTTTCATTTTTATGATTATTTTCATTATACATATCATAATTTTCATAGGTATTTGTTTCATATACATAATTATTTTCATTAAAAGTATTATCATAATTTTCTTTATAATTTTTTTCAGATTCGTTATTATAATTTTCATTAATATAAGTAATTTCCATATTTTGATCATAGTTAATTTCTTGATTTTCAACATTTTCGATTTCAAATTTAGGTTTAATATTTCTGTTAATTTTAAAGATATGTTTTGATTTAGGCCATTTTTCACTGAATCTTACTTCTACTGCTCTTTGAATTTTTCGATATTCTTCTTTTATATCTTCTGATTCTTTTTTCCAAGAATCAGAGATTATTTTTGATACAGCTCTCATTGAAACATTTGTAAATTGTGTTTGAAGTTTTTTTTGATAAATTAAACGATAGATCATAAAAGCATTAATTGGTTTTGTTGGTATAGTACCATCCGGTTTGAGTTTAACGAAATCATCTATATTGACTATTGGTGGAAATGGTAATATAATATTTGGATTCAAATCTTTATGAAATACGTTCATACCATTCATTTTGTGATTATTAAAAATATCCTAATTTCTTTATTTATATTTTTTTTTATTATTAATTAAATTGATAAATTATTAATATTATTATATAAAGTTTTTTTGGAAAATTCGAATTGTTAATATTTTTAAAAATATTTTTATATTAAAAATAATAATTAATTTTATAAATAAAGAAAATTTGGATATTTAAACATTATCAAAATGAAACGTAAGAATGATGATAAACATAAAATTAATAAAAAACTCAAATTTACTTTTCCAACAGAGATTATTCGATTGATTATTCAAATATATGAATTTGAAGATTTGGAAGAATTAATAAATATTGCTTTAGTATCAAAATTATTCAAAGAGTTAATTAAGGAATTATTTGTTATAATTTTTATTGTTGGAGAATCATGGATGCTTTACAATCCTAAACCGATTTATAAATATAAAGTTATAAGAAATGGTATTTCTCATGAATTGACTAAAAAAAGATGTGGTAATTTGAGATCAATATATTATGATTGGAGGTAAATGAATTATAATTATATATCATAAAAATTATTTTTTATTTTTTATTTTTATTAATAATTTTTTTTTTGTAATGATAGTACTGTAAATGTTTTAAAATCATGGTATAAGAATAGTTATCGTATTGAAAAGATAGAATATATTATTTCTAAAAAAATATATCTAGATAGATATTATAAATTTTTATACATGATAAAAGATATAAATGAAAAGGAAAAAATCGAGGTTAATCATGTGATAAGTAATAAAAAATATTTGATCGATGATAGGAAGAGTTGCAAAAAATTGAATTTTTGGAAATTAGTAAAATACGATGTTAATTCACATTATTGTCATGGTTCGAGTTATTATTTTACAGAATTTATAATGCAAAAATTATTAATGTTCAAATATCTCAAAACGAAAAACAGTAATGTGAGAAAAATATACAAAGATTTATTTGAATTTTATTAGTTTTTACTATTTATAAAAAAAAAAATATTATTTTTTTGCTTCATAATGTTTTAATTTTTTTCTCAATTGTCTTTCTTTCAATTTTTCTTTTGCTTCTATTAGTTCATTTTCAAAGATTTTTTTTTCTAAAAAAAAGAAATAATTAATAAAATAATAATAAATAAAAAATAAAAAAATATTACTTTTTTTCAAAACATTGATTTGTTCTTCTAAATCGAGAATGTCATCTTCGATATATTCCACAGCTCGTATTTGTTTCTTTTTTGCGGTATTATTAGAAGCAGAGGTGAAGGTATTATCAGAAGGGACGGGAGAAACAGAAATATTTTCTGGTGGTGTAGTAGTCATAGTTAAAGAAATTATTGAGTGAAAATATTTTTTTTTTAATTTATACGTAGTAAAAAATGTGACGTTTACATTTTTTTTTCAAAAAACTATGAGAGAATTTTTTTTTCAAAAAAAATGTAAACGTCATGATAATAAAATCAAAAAACAGAACAATGATATATTACTAAATTTATCAAACAATTAAACTCCTTAAATTAATAATTAAATAATTTACGTAATTCAAATTCATTTCATGTGATTTAATTTTATTAAATTATTAATTTAAAAATATAATATAATGATAAAATATAATACTAAAACAACGTAAAATACAATTTTATGAATCATGACTTGGTTAAAATTCCGAAAAGGCCAAAAAATAGTTAGCCAAAATAATAATTATTTACAATATAAACTTTCGAATGAAATCATTTTTAATATATTTAAATATGAAAGATATCCGAAAAACCTTATTGTTACTTGTAAACGTTTTCGTGATCTTATCATAGATCCTTACTTTAAAGTTGAATGGTATCATCATAATTATTTTAATATGAGTGAAGTAATTCGATTAGGTTCTACATTTTTCGATGAGAAAGTTGTAAAGATTCTTAAGAATAATAATGTTTATGCTTTAGAATATAAAACATATGATATATCACGTAGATATTTTTCTGTAAAAAAAGAACCAGAAAAATATACAATTTTTTCTGAGGATTCTAAGATCAAAATTCAATTTGAACTTCTTATTTTTCTAACATCTTTATTTAATTTTATATTTACATCTTTTTTTATTATTATTATTTTTAAAGAAATATTTTCTTTTTGGTATTTTTTCGTGTTATGGTTTATTTTATACATATCATGGCAATTAATATTTTTTATAGATTTTTTGTTATATGATAAATATAATTATAGTATGATGTTTTGATATTAGATAAATCATAAAACTTTATTTATTTATAAAAACTTATATATTTATCGATAAATTCATATTTCTTTACATGAAAAGAATATATTCAAATAATTATTTAAATAAACTCATAAAATCATCATTATTATAAACGATATTATTTTTGTAATAAATTGTAAATTTTTTAATATCACAATGGAAGATCATAGATTTTTTATCATTTTTATCAATAGTAAAAGGTCTGATATTAATATTATTTTCAAAATCGAAAAAATAAGAAAGATTCTCATCATCAATTTCATCGAATTTGATAATTTCTTCATAGATATGAGTTTCTTCAAGTTCGACAAATTCACAAATTCTACGAATTTCCATTTTCAAAAAATCTCTTTTAACAAAATTAAATGTGAGATAACCGTTACCAACAAAGAGAGTAAAGGAATGATATTTTTCTAATTTTTCGTTATCTTCAAGCCGAAGATATTGTTTATTTTCGTTATTTTCAATTTCAAAATATTTATCTTCTTTTTGGTTAATATTTAAAATATCATTTCTAGTTTCTTTATTCATATTAATTAAATCTTGTTCGATTTTATTCTGTAATTCTTCTAAAGATAACTTAGAAACTTTTTTTTTATCATCTTCTAGAATCTTTTCATTTTCTTCTTTTTGAACATCAAAAAAATTTTTTTCAGACATTATAGAATTATTTTTGATCGATATATTTGATAATATATCATTAATGAAAAAAATGCTTTATTTATTAAATCGAATAATTACTAATATTAAAAAATTATTAATTTTCATATATTAATTTGAATTAGTAATTTTTAAAAGTGACTTATTCTTTTTTTTCTATCATAGAATTCTTTTCGGAATTTAGTATCCATTTATTACTAATAAAATATCTATAAAATCTCATAATTTTTAGTAAAAAAAAATCAAAATCATAAAAGGATAAATTCGAGAAATATTCTATAAACAAATATTATTTTACAATGTCAAAACAACTACTTCTTACATCTGTACAAAATGAAATGGAAGTAAGGGAAAGAAGACGTAAATTTACAAATTTTGCTACAAGATGTTCATATGTAATTCATGACGGGGAAAGAAGAAATAACTTGATAACAAATTTTAAACAAAGAATAAATGAGATAAAGGAAAAAATTAAAGAAGAAAGAAAATACGAACTTGTAGGTTTTAATAAAGTAGTCTCTGAAGATTTTGTATTTGAGGATGGGAAATTTTTAGAATTTGATGAACCAATTATTGTTAAACATGATAAACCTATTAAAGATTTAAATGAGGAGCAAATTGAAAATATTAGACAGTTAAATTTGATTTATTCAATCTGTGAATCAATTGAGAAGGACAAAGATATTGATAAAACGATCAAATATAATGCAAATTATAAAAAGATGTTTGGAGAACTTGAAAGAGTATTGACAAATCCCACTGAATCAGAAAGAGAGATTTTAATGGATAAAAATTGTGAAAATATGTATAATATTCATAAAGATAAAGAATTAGATTTTCCAATGCTTAAAAAAAATATTGATGGATTACCGGATTATATTTTTAAACGAATAGATTTATTAAATATTGATCATAAAGCGTTAACTAGATCTTATTTATTTGATTCTTGGTGTTGTAATATTGTAAATGGATTAACTGATAAGACATTAATTGAAAAATATTTTAATATTGATTATAATATTTTTGAGAATTCTGATATGAAAAATTTATCTTTGATCATCGCAATGAATAAGATTGGTTTTAATTATAGTCAATTTATAAAAGTTGAAGAGGATCCAATTAATGATATTAAGGAATTATTTGAGAATGATGATATTGATAATGATTTTGAAAAAATCGAATATCATAACTTCAATTAAATATTTACTATTATATTATATTATATATTATTTTTATTATTTATTTCAATTATATATTAGTATTATTATTTTATATAAATATTATATTTATTTATTTATGAATTATTAAATAAATTATGATTTAATTATAACATTTTTATCTGAAAATCATGATAAATGATATTTTTTTATTTATAAAAATTATAAGATATTACACCACGTATATGAATTTAAATATGCCCAGCTATTCGAATAGAAAATATAAGTTAATATTTTATTAATTAATAACAAAAATATTTTTTTTCTTACTTAGTTGGTATGAAATAATAATATTGAGTAGGTGGTATAATAATGATTGGTGAGTCAGTATTATTTGCATTTGGCTGTTGTTCATTTTGTTTATTAGAATTTTGATCATCTGGTTTCTTTTCTTCAGGTTTTTTATCATCTTGTTCATTATTTTTCTTATCAGAATTTTGATCAGGAGGATTTGGTGTTGATGGTGGAGGCGGAGGAGTATTAACAATAACAACTGGTTGATATCCAGGAGGTATATAATAAATTTCACTCATATTATAGTTTTTGTGTCAAT